CGTGTGATTTAAGTTGCATCCACTAAATAGAAATGATTATCGTCGAAGGAAATGAGTCATTCGCGGTGAACCAACAACAGTCATGGATGATATCATTCGTACTTTATTAAAATTTGGGAAGACATGACTACATATAAAAATAATATAGAATGCGAAAAAGATGAGAAGAAAATTATACAATACAACGAAGAAAGAATACCTACTAAGCAACAGAATATCTGAAGAAAAACCGCGCTTTTTTTAAAATATAAATTTTTTTACGAACGAGTCAATGCTTTTGATAAAAACCGGAATTTTGACCGGAATTTTCTTGCATAAATGTTTCATTTTTAACACATCTGAAAAAAGTATAAGCTTGGAATAGAAAAATTCTATTTAAAGAAAAGTATACTTCTGTATTCGCGCCCACGATGTAGCAAAACTAAAGTACGAAGAAGGAACGCAAATGTGAAAAAAAGACAGACTGAAAAAAAAATGCACAAGCAGGTCTCCACACGTGTTCTCTTTTACTATCCGGTAGAGCGCTTAATTCGACGTATATGTATAGCCTGTCGGCGAGACGTGCATATATGAGCTAAGAGAGTCCGGAACATGTGTTTTAATCATATAATGTTATATCCGTGAAGAGACCACTTTATTTAATTCGCAATACCCCTCTTTGAAAACCCCGAATAGTCGAACGATGTGCAAAAACAAAATTTTTAATTAGTCTCAGATTACACTCGACATGAATAGCTGCACTCGTAATGAATAGCTTCGAGTAGAGGTGAAAGGGAGATAAAGATATGTACATGAATATAAGAATTAATTAAATGAAAGAATAAAAATGCTTACAATTATCATTTAATGCTCAACATTGTTAAATTATGCTGCCATAATAATTACAGCTGTTAAGCTGATAATATCTAGTAGTTGCATTATATAAAACAAATATTCAATTTATAAAATTTTGTGAACGTACGAAAATACTTTTAAATTGTTAAATGTTTTATGAATATTTTACTAAAATGGCATATATTTGAAATAACGCAAGACACGATTATATATTCTCTAAATTCTTTGAAGTGAAATTGAAATCTCACTCTAAAGAGTAAATGAAAAATGAGCTGGTCTTGGAAAAGAATGGTTCAATTTTTCAATTTTTAAGAGTGAGATTTTAATCATCAAAGTGAGATTCATCTCTAAAAGTTTCAGAGAGTAAAAATTTACTTTATTAATTGATACTTAATCGCTATTATATTTGAGAATCTATTACACATTTAAGTATTTTTTAAGAAAATTAAAAAAGTATGAAAAAATCACTGGTTTTTCTATATTATATTTGAAAGTAATATAAAAAATGTAGCGATTCAGAAATCTGGATAAAAAATTGTTTCAATAAAAAACTAGCTTTTAAAAAATAATTAAGATAAATGAAAATATTTTCATTTTAATTATAAAATTATATTATTAAATATAAATATTGACAACAAACTGTCTCATACGCATACAATTCACTTTTATAAGTATAAATTTCCAATTTCAGTTTATAATACTTTAAAACTAGTGCAGAGGAATAAATAACTATACAACTGCATGGAATGTGAGAGTAAAAATAAATTGAGAATGAATTAAGATTGGGGCTCGCATAGGGGCAAGATAATGAACGAGAAAGATAAAATTATAGCATAAGGGAGAGATATAAGAAGGAAACAGACGAATGAATGAATCTCGCAGCTCACACATGTTCGGTTTTACTTATTCAGTACATCGTCTGATTTGACACGCATCGCTGATACCCCGCTTGCTGTACGCGGAATACAAAATTCTTTCGATGAGACATTATCCGCATAGTGTCGTTGACTTCGTGCTCATTTTTTAAAATGAATTTCAATGAAGGCAAATGCCTCTAGCAGATAATAAATGCAGCTTTACGTCAAGTAAGCAAACTTTCTAAGCGATAAAATGCAATGATCGTTTATGTGAGATGCTTAAAAGGAGATATAATAGGCCCAAGTAAATTATCGAAAAGTCATATCTTTTGAATAATCGCTCATAACTTTATAACATAACGTATAATTTGTATGATAAATCACAGTGTGATTACTTTAAAGTTTAAATTTTATTTCATATTTTAAAACATGATTAATAGTAAAAACATTGAACATGTGATATATATTTAAATGTTAAAAAATAAGCAGAAACTCTGCTTCAAAATTCTTGAATAAGACTTGCAATAATTTATCAAATTAATTTTAAATTGTAAGTAATTGTATCCTGTTTAGTGATCTTTTAACATTTATGACAACTCTATGATCAATCATAAATACTTTTCTCCATTTGTAGTTTACGCATTCGTGTTCTCCTTTTGTGAATATATTGGATGACGCTTTCTCGGCGAGAAAAGGATTGGAGCGTCTAGAACGAATTACTTGTCATTACGAAGCATATTATATGCCATATAAGTGCTGAAGAGAAGACCGTACGTAAGAAGAAAGAAATGCAGATTCGAATCGCGACTCAGAGATTTCGTCATCGCGATGCACAACCGGAATACTGTACGAGTCACGGACTCGTATCTCTTGGTGCAACGTGGCATACCGATATGAAAAGACGAAGGCGCACAGAGAAAACCATAGTGCATTTCGATTATCGTCAACAATAAATTGAATTACAAAGATTGAGATAGACAAGAAATTAATTAAATAAATACATGATCCTCTAACGCATTATCAAAATAATTTAATCTCTATCACAATCACAAAGGAGGATTGATTATCTAAAAAATATTACATAATTATTTGGAATTTTTTTTGTAAATTTGGTTCGTAAATTTTATCTTAAAATATACTGTTAGAGTAATGTGTATTTTTTTTTTATAATGTAAGTATAATAAAAAAAATAGTTTCGAGTCAAATGTTAACGAATCAAATAATATTAAAAAAATTGATAAAAAGATGTTAGGAGGTTATCGCAGGAAAACGTTAGGAACTTTTACACGCTTCCCCTCGGAATCTCCCATTGCACAAAAATAGTACAATTAATATCCGTCGGGGTCACGAAATTAACCGCAACGCAAAGTTACTTTCGCTGTGTCGCCCGACGATCCTAATTACTTTCAAATCATGATGAATGTCTTATACTTAACACGAAACTCGAAATTCTGACTAAGATAAACGTTATCGCTACGGTTTTCTTTATACATTTTTTTCTTCGTCTTATCTCATAAAACTTTCACGCACTTGAATCATGATTTTTCTTCATTCAAGATAGCACTTTGATTGCGACAGGAAAGGATTAATTTATGATTATTACTGGTTTCATTGAAATAAGTAAAGGACTGTCGCAAGACGAAATCTTTTAGTCATTGCTATTAACGTCCTAATGATTACTTTACCAATACTTTACTCAAATATTTCTCAAAATAAGCAGCGGCTTATTTTTTTTATTACGATGAAGCAAAATAACGATGAGGAATATTCATCCATCATTCGATATTAATTAAAAGCTAATATAAGTATAATCTTTCTGCTATATAAGTAATATATGTAATGTATGTTTACACATCGTTATATCAAAATTATAAAATTAAGTGGAACAGGAATATCCGCAATAGAACTGGAATAGACTTTTCGTCGATCAATTATTACGTTGCTTTGATCAAGCATGATCTCTCTCAATCACGCAACTCATTATATTCAATTTGAAATGCATTTTTCTGTTTAAAAGTGCATTTGAATTTATTTCTAATATAGATGGATATATGTTACGTGTATAAATACATGAATACATCACCTAGAATTTTTAGTATTACTTTGATAGTCACCGTTAACAATTGAAAAAAATATCATGTAATGCATTCAAACGTAGATGGTAACATACTGCTTTCCAGTTTAATTTTTCATTTGAATGAAAGCGCGTTTAATTTGCGAGACGAGCAGACACGCAAAACGTCACTACGGAATAATTGATTCTAGGCGTAGAAAATGATATTTATTCTGCATGGCGATTTCATGCGAGCACTGCTGCAAGCAGGATAGGTGAAGCGGAGCTTATGCGAAGCTACCGGCGACGTGTAAAAGGACACGCGCGTGTTTAAAAGTTTCCTCGCTGCGCTCGAAAGGAGGATCCTCTGGACGACAACCATTATCTCTCGGCCACGTGAATGCTCGCTCGTGCGCTTTCGTTGCGTCGACATGCCTGCAATACGGTATACGTTTGACTATCGTAGAATCGCAATCGCGCGAACGAAAGAACGAACGGCTATTTTCCTCTCGTATGCTCTTCTCGCGAGTCTTCAGTCCGTTGTTCATCGGATATTAAACGTCGCGTTATTGCTATGCGTCCGTGCAGGTTCGAGGAGCCCGCAAGGTACGTGCGTGTGCCATTAGCATCGCTAATCATCAATGTTGCATTTCCCTTCTCATGAGTGCCAAGTGTACTCACAACAGAAATAACGAAATAAAATTGCGCGTTTAAGAATCTTGAATAAATATTTCATGTGTTGGATTCTACTCGAAGATGATGTTTATAGGGTGCTCAAAATGCGGGAAGAGAACAGCAATTATGTTTCTGCTCGAATAAGTCAGTAATTATGAAGATAATTCATACGTTCTTAATTAACTAAACAAGGACAGAAATATGATATGATGAAATCAGTTCAAATTAAAATACTGTAAAACAATAATCATAAAATAAAACACATAAAAACAGCCAATATTAGCTCTCCAATGTAGAATGCAAAATATTAAAAAAATAATCTTGTTCACTTTTTGTGTTCTATTAAGGTTTTTCCAAGCAATGCCAGCAAGTGTTAAGTTATCACGATTAACTTGGTTGCATAAAACAGCTTATTATGCGACAGAAAAAAAAGAGAACGCGACAAACAGTCCGACTCGCAGATAGCAGTTTTCACGGGTCAACTTTCTTTCTGCAATAAAATGGAACGCGAATTTCATCAGAGGCATGACAAATATACGATCACATAAACAAGAAATTAAACATATAACATTCCTACTTACGCCTCGCAATATGGCTGTTTGTTGAAACCCTTGTACGTCCGCATATTCAGGGTCATACCGCAGCCCTGACACTTGAAACATTGCTTGTGCCATATCTGTAACAAGGAAACAATTGTTATTTCCACGTCAACTTGTCAGGTTTATGCGATTGCATAATAAACATAGCGCGGAAAAAAAAATAAAACGCTTAGTAAACCTCTCAAATTTTCGAATTTTAATCGGTATTAAACTTGATTCATTGTAATACGAATCATAATCTGACAGTAGGTATTATGTGCAGCGCATTTCGTCATCAATTCTTTCGATGGTTACATCAACAAGTGTTCAAACGCGCTCTTCTATAAATATTAAAAGTTTGTTTTCTACGAATCTTATTTCGATCGAGAAGTGTCCTACTTAATTTTCTTGCATCTCTTTAGAACCTGTATGCTTATAAATTATTTACTTTCACCAGGATAATTTCATCATAAATTTCATTGCACTGTACTTGAGAAATAAACGTCAGCGATAAATAACGAATGATACTATTGGTGATGATAATATTACGATACGATAATGATATCTCGCGACCTTATTCGCAGTGTTATGAACTGTCAATATTTCATAATGATATCAATACTAAGGCAATCTAATATCATGTACGGATAATCATATGACATTAACGAGGTGAAATTATCAGTTTTTTCGCCGTAATCTTTCTCTCTCTCTCTCTCTCTCTCTCTCTCTCTCTCTCTCTCTCTCTCTGTTAATGAGATATTTTCAGTATTTAATCGCCGGAATTAATTACGAGTTAAGTATTCTGGAAGTGATTCTTCTCTAAAAGAAGAAAATGATTTAGTTGTCATAGAAATTTTAGATCTATTGTTTTTGTTAATTAGCAGATTGAAAGAAATGTTGACCAAATTATTCATAAGCCAAATTTTTTTTATAAACTTTCAAACATTAATGTCTGCAATAACAAAAATCGTGTTTAAACAAAATAAAATAATTAAAAATGTAATATATATATATATATATATATATATATATATATATATATATCAAAATACAGAATAAAGTGTCTTTATAAATTGTAATGTAATATAGTATGCATATTTTATGCCTGATACGTTTT